AATATTACTTGTTATGGATGAAAACTCCTTTTAAAATGTGAACCCTGACAAATTGTTATACAAAAAATACAATAAAAATCTACTTACTACATCTTCAAAAAGACTTTACATAACAAACGTAACGTTTGTATTAAAGCCTACACATAACAGAGTTATTACAATATATAAACAAGTTCAAGGCTGTATATTATAAAACAAGGCTATGACTAATACGTAATCTTATTTACGAACAACAAACCAGTTATGTATAAGTACATTGTATAGGAAATACGCAGTGTTATGTATAGGATTAGAACTTTATATAATTATAAAGACTTAGCATTGGCACATAACATTTTTAGTTTTGTTATTGAAAATTTACGATATTTGTATACCTATATGTATAAGTAGGTACATATTATACATACAGGGATTCAAGAAAGCTAATTTTAATTATGTTTTTCTAAATAATACAACAATTAAAATTACAGGTCAGGCATTTTAAACCGCTAAAAAAACAGCTATTACCAATTTAACATCAATAGTATATCAATGTGTTAACACGTCATGGTAGGCCCTCAGGTGAACGGTCTGCTCGTGTACCTCCTATTCCACAAAAAAGTCTCTTCCTTTTTCCTCTTATTTTTTCCTGCGCCGTAATCATTGATTTATTTTTCCCTTATAAAGGCTGTACACATGCGGCCAAGGTGTTGGTCCAACACGTTGGACCAATAGGTTTCATTGGGCTTATCATTTTGGCCCAATATGTTGGACCAACACCTTGGCCTCCTTGGCGCGCCAAGATCTTTCGATGTGTGGACAAAAAACCGACAACATTTGGTTTGCTCGCCAATATTTGCGCAAACCGGAACATCGCTACCAATACATCGCCAAGTAGCCCTCTACACGTTTGGCCAGTAGGTTCTCCCAATACCTTGGGCCAATGTGCACTGCGGGCTTAAAAAGGCTTTAAGATATGTATTGGCAATAACTTATTACTACCACACCAGTACCGGACACAGTACAAAAAATTTAGATCGCAACATCCCGCTTTTAATTCGCAACACAGGAAAAACGTTTTCATCAATTGCGGATATCCAGAAACAGCATTAGTAATAAGATCCATTACCACACATTGTATAACCTGGACCCCTAACCTTGGAGCTTAACATTAAGTATACGAGAGCCATGAGCTCATAGCTTAACAGTCTCTACATGTTTTCCTTACAAGCATATAAACGCAATGTCGGTAGATTGCTTCTCTAAGGTCACACTGATTGAACTGACCTCACGCGCTTACGAAACGTACAAGAACTATGGCTTGTATGAAGATTGAACGATTAGGTACAATGCAATTGTTTAACTGTTAGGACTAGCTTCATTCTCTTGTTCGAACTAGCTCAAAAGCAGATTAATTTGCCACTTATTGTAATGTACTTAATGGGTGATTTATTAATTATATCGTGGTGGATTAAGGGTTGACGTATCACGGCGTTGAGAGTGTGAGTTAGTCCTGGGAAGTAGAAATGTGACTTTTTTCAAGTTATTATGTAATGATTATTTAGACCCTACTAATATACGGTGAAGGACAAACAGCGAGAGGTAACTGAAATTATAATTTCTAATTGTAAGTTTTAAATTGTCAATTCACCTTGAGCAAGCGTGACGAATAATGCTCAAATGCTTCTCCGTGTGACAAGACGCCTTTGACAGATCTGTTACTTTTATTTTATAAGTCGTTGCAATTTCGACTATCAGAATGATAACAAACACACATCAACAACAATCATATTCTAAGAGTCATTGCAAAAAAACCTCCTCCTAAATAAACTCCGAATGTTTTGATGCATTTGATTTTCCTTAGAAGGATTTTTAGATAGCCTTTTTTGCATCACCCAACGTATCTATGGCTTTAAAAAATGCACATAGTGCACCTCTTATTTACAGCTTATACAAACGAAGAAATAAATAAATAAGTACCTACCACAGTTCAAGGTACTTGCTCAACCAAACAGATAATAATTTAATTTCAATTTATTACTATTGTATTAGATAATCTACCTATAATGTAAAAATGTGTTGGTAAGCGCATAACTCAAAAACGCCTGGACCAATTTTGACAAATCCTTTTGTTCTGTATTTATTATTGCCAGGAGAAGGTTTTTATGAAATAAAGTATTAGAAAAGTAGAGGGGAAAATGGTTCCTTTCGTTGTTAGCAAGATAGTTGGACCCGTGCGAAGGGGATAGGCCGCTAGTTTATAAAAAAAATATGTCCATTGTTAACCCATATTGCTTTCTTTATAAATATCGATTTGAAATATTAAATAATGGTATTGTAATCAATATTAATATAAGGAGAAAGCTATTTGTAACACTACACTTATATGGATTTAAGCTGAGAGCGGAAAACGTGGAAAGGATCATGTTATAAATAACGTGCCAGAATTTCATCAATTATAGAACAGACGTTTTGAATATGGGAGAGACATGCTTTAGCCCATGCCGGTTCAACCGTCCTGATACCCCGGCCTCCCATACAACCGGTGTGAAATAACGCTTGTGTTATTTTTCAATCTAAAAGTGAGGTTATCGTAGGCTTTACCTTTCCTCTATCAATTACAAAATTGTTCCACCCCAACAGTATCAATATTTTTTTTTAATATTAAAAAGCTGAAGAGTTTGTTTGTTTGTTTGAACGCGCTTATCTTCAGAACTGCTGGTTTGAATTGAACATTTTGTGTTACTTAGTCCACTTATTAAGAAAGGCGGTTTGTGGCGGTTGGCTATAAAATATCACGCAAAAATCAGTAGGAGACGAGGAGCGAGTGAAACAGCGCGAAAGTAGCTAGTGAGGAATATTTTTCGCTTTTTGTCTTTCGGTATACCTACTGTCTAATTTTCTTTTCTTGAAAATCGTATAAAGAATTAAATTATTACTCATCTCTTAAGAACCAACATACAAAGACACACTATCTGTAGTATGTGGAGAAAACAGCAGTTACATTAGTAGAACGTCGTTCAAGGTCAGCGCGGACGTTCCGGTGCGCGAGCGCATCCTGCTCGCATGGCGCATGGCGGATGGCGCAGGCGCCGATACTTTTGTTACGTGCGTTTTATTGCGCTTTTACTTACGAAAGTGGAGTCAAATTTCGATGGGGGGAGGCTTTTGTCCAGGCTCTTATTTAGGGTCATTGACCTTTTTGTAAAATGATCACTATTGTCTGACGAGTTTTTAGTTTAAGTTACATTTTGATGGTGATCTTTGATGATTTCATGGTGATACTTAATCACCAAGGGAGAGCCAAGCTTCGTCACGAATGGGTCGGCTCGACCGGAGTGATATCACGGCCTCACAGAATAACGACGTGAAACAACCACAGCGTTGTAATTCGCCGTGTGAGTGAGGTTACCGGAGGCCCAATACTTCCCCTCCCCCGATCCCTCCCAATCCCTAAATCTCCAAAACCCTAATCCATAAAAGGTCGCCAACTCACTCGTAACAAAAAAAAATCTGTTTAAATGTGCAATTCGAATTTTGTTTGGTTTTCAATAGCCTGTTTGTTTTTTATCCCTTCTTTACGTATTATCCGTGATATTATAATGCGGTCCTAGTACTTTTTTTGAAAAATAATTCGTAATATTTACCTAACTATACTGCATACCACCGAACTCACTGCAAAAGATACAAATACCGCATCCAATTTTAAATATAAATCACCTAAATTCGTTGAAAGGCGTTTAGAAAGTGACGTCACTTCTTTGTAAGTAATTTCATACCATTTTACAACGAATTTCGATGACACACAATGGAAAAAAATCGTAAAATTGACGTTTATTGATAAACCAATCAGCGGGTTATCACTTATCAATGTTCTGGGTAAGTTACAAGTGATGACTATCAATTATTATACTATAAGCTATTAGCTACCATTTAGTATTATTAATTATTAAATTGTTTTTTTTTTACTATGGGTACTGCGGCAAACGAACTCATTGATTACCTGGTGGTGAACAGTCAGAGGAGAGAGTCAGACGAATTACGAGTGCGTCATCTTCCTTATGGGGTTATGGATTTAGGTGTATAGTGGGGTGGAGTGGGCCTTTTTTGTGAGGGCAAAATCATCAAATGACTAGTCTTACCCATGGTAAGGCAAGTGGGACGAATTCTTACTACCACGCGTCCCTTCTCCTGCTCCAGACCCAGGCATCAAATGACTTCTCCCGCCCAGGGTAAGGCGAGAGAAAGTGTCAGACTCTTACTGTCTAAAAACCCCTCCGTTCCTTCTCCTGCTCTATGCTTGAGGTCGCGGTGTCTCATTGCGTTTAACCCGCAACCCTGGCTGGCTCCAGACCAAGGCTGCAGTACCTAATCGTGCTTGCCCTGAAGCCCGGGAGGAGTAGAGCTCCAGTAACAACGTAAGCATTTTTGTAAAGGACTAGTATCACTCCTGTCGAGCTGGTCCATTCGTGCCGAAACATGGCTCTCCCACATTTAAAGTCTTAACAAAGGAAGGTGAGAGCATGACTACAGGTCCATTCTCTTATCAGCTTACGTTAGCGGACTACTTACGCTGTTGATTACAGTTTTCACGTCAAAGGAAATGACTAGCTCATAATATGTTTATGTTTCTTCCTGACCTAGTCATGGAACTAACAAATAAAAGAGAGTTACTATGGTTATAGACATAGATTATAGGTATTACAATAAATACATTCTAAAATAATCAAATCAATAATGATTAGGGACTAAAAGAACTTCATCATCATCAGCCTGTTGTCGTCCACGGCTCCCCAATTGCACGCCACTGAGCTAGAAAATTTCTTAACTTTTTACTTAAGAAATTTTATTGTCAATTTATACTGAAGAGCCACGTAAAATCTATGCATTCTGAAAAAACACAATCATATTTACCTCTCTAGAATAGAGAATGCACAAAACCAATTTCTCTAAAAAAATCCTTTCTTAAAAAAAATAAAAAGCGATAACGAATCCGTTCTAAAGTCAAAAATAGGTATGAAATTAAATTCGCGAACGATCATCTAATCAACAATACGTATCTACGTCTCTCGTCCACCTCATGGCCGGCCACTCTGGCCAGTGTTGTACCGACCAACGCGACCGACAGACGTACATTTCGGTATTTCGTTTAACTAGTGCTGTGCTCACGCGAGTTATTAAACACATCATAAATAATGATATTTGTGACATTTCGTGTTCTATAGTGATATATTGTGATAGTTATTTTTTGGTGTTTTTTTTTTCTTTATAAAGAAAGGTATGTTTGAGTGTTATTGTAGAGTTTTTATGTCGTATTGTGAGTCATTTTTGTGTGAATTCTAGTAGTGTATGATAGTAAAGTTAGGTAGGTTTGTTTATATAATTATTTTTTGCTGTCATTATGAAATGCGATTAGTGTGCATACGAGTCACATGAAATTGTTATTGATATCTTTTGTGAACGGTTTGTTTTATTATACGATAGTTGATTACGAAGGTTGTTTCATCGAAAAACTTAGAAAAGAAAATTAGATTTTCATTCTAAACTTAAATGCATAACTTGTCATAATTTTTGTTTTCCCATAACCAATAGTTGCGACTATTGAAAACATAGGAAGTAACATCAAATTTCAGCTCTTTGTCGTTAAAAGATAATATATCAATATAAACTAGTGTCTACCATCGGCTTCACCCGCATTATCGGGATATAATAGAGCCTATGTATTATTCCTGACCTATGTATCTGCCAAATGTAATTTCGATTTAAGGCTAATATTTGTTGGATGTCAAATATATTTTGCGATATTTAAAATTGTATTGAGAAATTGAAGTACCTTGTACCTTTGTACAGTAACTGGTATGATGTTAGATATGTTTAGATTTCTTTGAAAGGAAACTTGTCAAGTTTAACGCGAAAGTTGTAAGAGTGTGTAAAAGGAAATGAGTAATATTGTGTTGTCATAACTAGATAGACAATTAACAATTTCTAAGATAACTTGATACTATAACCTACCTCACTGATCTGGAGCCGGTATGAGCAAACGCCTTATAAATATGATATTTTGGAATAGTTACTATCGTAACATTTCTTGAAAGTAAAAACTTATTCACGTGAATTTACTGTGGAAAAAATACTATTTTCAAGTTACAACTAAGTACACTCATAGTAATGATATCTTAATATAGTTCTCAGATTTGATTTCTGGTTTAGTGGGAGTGAATTTTTTAAAGGACATTCAAGAGGAATTTGATATTTTTATCGTATTTGGCATTGATTATTTATATATAATATGCTTCTTTCTAGCAGCATTCTCTCATTAACCTGAAACGACTGAAACTTTTAAATTGTGATCTTAAACTAGATCATTTCTATCGCAATGGTTCCTATATTACTTTATCTTACAATAGCATTGTTTCATAAACCTGAAACGACTTGAACTTGTGAACTATATTTTCCAATCCGCTTGCCCAGACGTGGAGTCTTTGGTGAAACATTCAATGTAAGGGGTATTTTTTGTTGAGAGGAGAAAATAATAAAATGAATTCTCTCGCCCAGGGTGCGGCAAGAGAGATTGTCAGACTAAGACCGAATAAAACCCACCCAGCTCTTTAAATAGAAAAAAAACAATTTTCAAAACAGAAATGAATTATTTAGCTATGATCAAGCATATACTTATCTTCAATTATCATATAATATATTATGTACCTATATATAGTATTGTACTTGGGAACTAAGGCTTGCCTTTATTCAATCTAATCTTATCAAACACTTTTGAATTACACGTTTAAAAGAAATTTTCGATGGATTTCGAGTGGATTGAACGTTTGTGTATATTGTCATAATTTTATGTTAAAACATATCATAGATATTACCGGGGACTATTTAGTCGATTTGTATATTGCTTTTAAGCTAAATAACATTTTGCTTTTTCTATTTTTTAACTCTGTTTTACATAATTTCGTTAGGTACATAGTACTATAGTACTGTGAAAGTTTGTAAGTAGGTATGGATAGATGGATGTTTGTTACACTTTCACCTGAAATTTCGTAAAGCATTTTGACGAAAATTGGAACAAAGATAGATTATAGTCTAGTAGTAGTCTTTGTCAACGTGGGCCACGTCGCTGTCAGAAGCTATAGTAAGGGAGCCTAGGATGCTATATTTGTACTCACTCAGTTACTCAAGGGTAGTAGCCAAGATTGGGCCTCCGGTAACCTCACTCACACAACGCTGTGGTTGTTTCACGCCGGTTTTCTGTGAGGCCGTATCACTCCGGTCAAGCCGACCCATTCGTGTCGATGCTTGGCTCTCCCACATTTCGTACAGCGATCTTTAACTCGCCTGAGATTATGGTATATAGTATAGTAGTATCTTCATCTGTCTGTGATATAATTCTACTTTTTCACGTGTTCCTCATAATTGGCGTAATGAATCAAGTATCTGTTTTAGTTGTAATAATGTAATTTTGTAAGCTGTGAAGAACCTTTAAATAAATAAATAAATAAAATAAATCTTTCACGGGCCGTTTGATGCTGCATTTACCAGAAGCATCGCGTTTATCTAGTACTACCAACCTACAGCGGCTGCACACGCGTTCAATTATGATACTAAATTTCTCCACTATTTTATGGGTGTAATACCCATATGAACCGTTCTCTTCAATCACTCTATCAATTACAAAAACCACATCAAAATCCGTTGCGCAGTTTAAAAGATATAAGCATATACATAGGGATAAAGGGACAGAGAAAGCGAGTTTGTTTTATACTAAGTAATGATATAAAAGTTACTTCTCAGTATGTTTTTTTTAAAAACGTTGCCTCATACTAATATTTTCTTATGTGACGTGGGTGCGTTTACAAACATACAATTTCACATGCACATCACACCCAGACCCGGAACAACAATCCGTGGATTACAGAAAGAGTTGTTCCGTGCGGGAATCAAACCTGCGACACGTTGCGCGGCAGCCAGTTGCCCAGCCAGCGCGCCAACCGTACAGTCTAATCTTACAATGAGTTAATGAAAATCTTATCGACAAAACAGTTCTAAAAACTATCACAACTTATCGATAAGATAAACCACTCTTCAAACAGAAGAATCACTTTCGGTACTCATTAGAAATACTATTTAGATAAATCGTTGTTTTAAAAAGAATACAAAAAAAGTCGATAAAAAAACGTATACAAACGACGCTTATCTATAAATCGTTATCGGATATCGATATTTTATCGATAACTATCGGTATCCACACGTTATTTTTATTTAAACGTGAAATTCTATTAAAATCCCTCCGTGTTATGTTTAGTTTTGTTTTGTTTATATTGATTTGACCTGGGTTTAGCGGGGCGGGTAGCACCGTGCGTTAACCTTTGATTAATAAATCAACTGGTTATATTAAGATTAATGTTAATGCGCTGGAAAATCGGTATGCTGTTTTATTATTATTATTGAATATGTCTTGTTGTGATTTACTTTGTTTAAAATGTCGTGTTTGAATTTAAATGATTAAATAGAATATTTTTTAAGGTATTTTTTATGAACTATGAGCGTATTAGAGTACTTACAATGAATTAACGAAAAAAGTGTTACATCCAAACTAATATTATAAATGCGAAAGTAACTCCGTCCGTCTGTCTTTTCTTCACGCCTAAACTACTAAACCGATTTCTGTGTTACTTGGTACAGACATACAACTCGAGAAAGGACATAGGATAGTTTTTAAACCAAAAATCTACAGGAAGTTACTATTCTATGCGAAAAAAGTCGCGGGCAAAAACTAGTTTATCTATAAACAGTAGAGCTAATCGAAATAATTTTGTTTCGATAAGCTCTACTGTTTGAATTCTAAATATGAAAAATACTTTCAAACTATACAAATAACGATGTCTCTAAAATAGACAGCTAAAAGTAGCAACAAAAAATTAGATACCTGTTTACGTAAAAGACATTCTTTGCTTCCATAACCATTGTATCAAATAATAGTTTCGTATCAAATATCCAATCAACAATATCGAGTAATTTCTACACATCATTTTTAGATTCGGTTCGCTCTTTACTTTTACTAATTTTGCCATGCCTCATGTTTTAACCGCTGTTAAAATCTCAATGCATTGATGACATGCTACACTAAAATAAGTATTAACTATATTTCGTTACTTATAATCAGAAATCGAGACAGCGTGAACAATTTTTAGAAAGTCGAGCTAATTTTTCACTTGAAAAACGTTGTTTTTTTTTACGCTAATCTTCATAAAATTCGTTTTGCATTGAAATATTTTAAACCGCAAATTTTATGGTTCAATCGATCTGAGAATTGATGTTATTTTTATGTTTTCGTAATAAGTAATGTGTTTTTTTTTATTAGATATTATTAGTAACTATCGTGAGACATACTTAATTGATACTCAACTAGTTTCTAGAAAAGCTCTACTAGTTTCGAGTCACAACGGGAATCTTACTCATGAGCAGCGTGCGTGTCGCGGCAACGTCGCGCAACAAACTGCCAAAAAAAGAAGTAAAGTGCTCGATGAAAATTGTTACATTTTGTTTTGTTTATGACATAAGAAGGCAAATCATTTGCTATTGGCATTGATCATGGATACTTGCTTCACTAGAGTTTCGAGATCGTTGCCGGCAATTTATAAATTAGAAAAATTAGGTACCTATTTGCAGATTTGGACCTAAGTAAATGTAAGAAGTATCAATAGGGTAATAATAATATTCTGAAATCCTTGTTTAGTAACCAAAATCCAAACGAAAATAATGTAAATTATTTTTCCTTCTTATTTTTTTTTATCCATAAAATAATAAAATTATGGAGACTGTTTATAGAGGTTCATCATATCCATGCACTACATACCACGATCGTTAAGCACAATTATTAAAGCAACCCTACCCTTTCTGGAGATCAGCAGCACCAGCATTCTCCGGTCGAGCCGACCCATTCGTGCCGAAGCATGGCTCTCCCACAAAAGACTTGAACTAATGGAACTATATTTTCCAAAGCAACCCATCTACTAAGGATGACACTATTTCTTTTTTATATGCACACTAGCAAAATTTCAGAAATTATTTCGTCACTGTATTATATAATATAGTCTCCTTAGCAAATCAATCAATTTTCTTTTTAGAAAGAATCTAAGGAGATAATACTAGTGTGAGCCATATGTAATAAAAAAAAACGTGAGATTATTTTTGAACCCAACTCATTCATTGACTTCAATTTGATTGTGTAACGTTTTGATGACGTCATTCAATTGTTTTTATACGTGTGTG